ACTGACTGACTTTCCCTTACCCACAGTACCTCAATCTGGATTTTACTATGGAATTTCTGATATTTTGAATTCCTCAGCATTTGGGCAAACCTGGAAGTCCTAAACACAACAGCTGGGGGTTGCTTCATGAAATATTAGAGTATGCTCCCTTCAGAACTAAGGAGATTTGTGATAAGGCTTCAGTTTTTGGGAGAAGATGACAATGAAGGGAAATATATATATTGGTGGTAGGTAGAATTCTATACATTTTGGGTTTTGATTATCTGTCTTAGAAATAAATGAAGAACAAAATGTGCTCAAGCTCTAAATGCATTCGTTTTCTTTGCAAAATTAAAACTTAACCCAATATTCCTACTTGGAATTGTTCTCATAAATGAGTGAGGAGTGTATAAATTGTATCTAGTGAGAGAAGAAAAATGTCTTGTGGTTAGAGGACTAGAAAGCTGTAAGAAATCTTAGTGTTTAAATTTCCCTGTTTGAAGATGAATCATATGTGGCCCAGAGGTCACACAGGGAATGACTGAAAATAAAGAAACAAATCTTCAAGTCGTCTCCAAGTCATGGCGACTCATGTGTAATATACAGTAGAGCGGATACTTAGGATTTTCTTGGCAGCTGGCCTCCTGGTGTGGCACTGTAGGATCAGCACTAGACTTTGAACCACAAGATCAGCTGTTCAAATCGATCAGCTGCTTCTCGGAAATCCTATACAGGGACGCTATGAGTTGAAACCAATTTGATGGCATTTAATAACAACTAACAACTATCTTGACAGAAAGAAGCGATGGATTACAAGCTAATCTCAAGGTTAGTAGATCAAATCTACCAGTCGCTCTGCAGGACAAAGATAAGGCTTTCTGCTCCTGTAAAAATTTACAGCCTTGGAAACCCTGTACAAGATCCATATGCCTCAGAATCAACTAAGTGGCACACAACCACCATGACCAATCTTGATGGAGTCCTAGTGTGGCACTGTAGGATAAGCATAGGACTGCTAACCACAAGGTTGGAGGTTCAAACCCATCAGTTGCTTCTCAGAAATCCTATACAGGGTCGCTCTGAGTCAGAACTGACTCAATGGCACTTAACAATAAGAATCTTGATGGAAAGGATCCCTTGGTGGTGTAGTTTGTGTTTGACTGCTAAGCCAAAAAGGAGTCCTAAAGGCGCAATGGTCAAGAGCTTGGCTGCTGCCAGTAAGGTTGGCGATGGTTCAAATCCATCCAGGCGTATCTGCTGCAGAAAGACCTAGAGATCTGCTTCCATTAAGATTACAGCATAGTTCAATTCTGTCACATGGGTCATTATGAGTCCAAACTGACTTGAAGTAACCAACAACAACACTAAGCTAAAAGTTGGCTGTTCAAACTCACCCCGTGATTTAGCAGAAGAAAGGCCTGGTGAACTACTTCCATAAAGATTACATCCAAGAACACCTTATGGACCAGTTCTACTCTGTAACACAGAGAATCACCATGAGTCAGTATCGCCTCAACAGAAGTGTGTGTGTGCGTGTGCATCATCAGACCTTTCTGGCAAATAACTGAAGTAAGAGAAAAAAAGCTACCAATCAATAAAACCCTGGGCAACCACCTACTTTTTAATCTCCACAACCCAGTGCCCTAGTTTATGGCAATTGGGAAGGTGGAGGAAGGTAGTAGGAGTAATAATAAAATCAAGCTCATTGAACTAAGAGCTTAGATGCTACTCTCCTTGATTCAGCATTCTAAATTTGTTGAGTGTTCTGAGTCCAAACCTTCCTCTACCATAAAGTTTCTTAACCTTTGATAGGTGGATTCACTTTCTTATACGGTTATATTTTTTGTCATGGGATAATAAACAAAAAAACTTGACCTTTGAGAATAAGAGTTATCTATAATATTTCCAAATATTAAAACCTTACATTTTCCTAGGATAAGACTACCCAAACTTACAAAAAATCTTATTTCTTTGTTTTCAGCTGGAACCATAACTCAGGCAACAGCTACTTGGTTTAATTTGTTACAGGTACAGAAAATGTTTAATTTACTTTTATTATCAAGGTGATCCAAGAACTGTTATTGCAACATTTGTTTTACATTTGGACATGGAAAGGGAACAGAAATGCAGATTTTAAAAATTAATATAAAAGTGAAAAGTAAGTTATTAATAGATACAATGTGCTTATTAAGAAATATTTGAAAACACAGAATCCCCAATCTAGAATTAGTAAAACGCATCATTGGTGTTGAAGAAATTGTCAACCATAGTACTGATGATACATATATATATATATATATATTTTTTTTTTTTTTTAATGTTTTATTATGAATTATGTGATAGTTTACATGGGAGAACATTAGCTTTACATTCTTCCTATCGTATATCGTTTCATTGCCAAGGTTATAATTCCCTCCATGCATCATCAAACAACCAAAGAGTATACCCCACAAGCCTGCCCCTCTGTCGTCAGCACACAGACCCTCTCCCTCTCTGGGTCTAGAGTCCCCAGCTGCTCCATGTCTCCATGTCATTGTCTCTGCCTCCATCTCTGTCATCACTGTTTCTCTGGGTAGGGTCTCGCACTCCACTCTTCTCCCTTGATGATCCCAGGGACCTTGGCTCCTGGACTGCAAAGTCAACCACTCCCCTCCCTTTACTACAAAACATCTACCTTTACCTTTCCAGCCCTCACAGTCAGTCCTGATAGCAATTATTCACTATTGTACCACAAGAGACCTATCCCCATCTCCTTTCATCAGCTGTGCCCACCCCAGAGAGATTGGATACTACTCAATGGAGAGTCTACCTATCTCTGCATCCTCTGGATCTAGGCTCCCTCTTGAAAGCTTGTAAGCCAGTCACTTCTTGCCTTTGTAGTCCCCCCATTTTGGGTAGCTAATGTCCAAGTTGCTCATCCCTGTCTACCCTGTGTATCGAGGGGGTGGGAATGATCCTCACTGTAAAGATTTGTTCCCTCTTTTGAGCTACTGCATCTATAGGTGTAGGTCAAGTTCATCAAATTGTATCAGATTACTCTTTTTTTTTTTTTTTCCTCTTCTTTCTTCTTCTAGTTGAGTTCTGATCATCCAGTCATTGAAGCCAGGTCAAGTGGGTATTATCTGCAAATGTGGGTGTTCTTGTGTATCTCCCCTCATTTCTTATCAGCTGCACGCTTCAGTTTCCATTCTAGTCCTCTGCGGCTATGTCACTGACTCTGGGCCCAGGAGTCCCCAGGCCTTGCCACACTGCTGGCCAACCAGGTTTCCACCCAGGTTCACAGGAGTCTATTGACCGTTGTAGGAGCCAGCTCGTGGCTTCATTGCTGTTTTTCCCTCACTTCCCCTTATTGGTGACCAACGTGGGTCACCAGTCAGAGCGCACATCTGCTTGTGTATTCCCCTTGAGTCTTAGTCTTGGAGAGGGGTTTGCCCTGACCACTTGCCTTGATGTCTCCTGGGTGAGCAACTTGCTTGTTCTTGTAGTAATCAGTTGGACTGCCGTTATTGTTTTGTATCTTCCTGTTGGTCTTACAAGACATATCTTCTGTTCTTCTAGCTGCTCCAAGCTGGTGTGCTTGTCCTTTCAAGTGGAAATTTCCCACCTCAGAAGATTCTGGATGCTGTTCAGGATTTCACCTATGGTCTTATGCAATGCAGAGGCTCCACAGGAAGCCTCCTTCACTGGGCACGTTGTAGCCCCATTTTAAGTATTCCAATCAGTTATAAGCAGAAGACGGACTTACATGATTTCTATGGTGATATTTCTGGCTATCCCTATTTCTCCCTCTCAAGTGCCTATTTTATAATGGTGTGCAAAGGAAACTAAGAGTCAAAAGACATCCAAGCATCTGATGATATTTTGATGGCGCTGTAGGATAAGCATTGGACTGCTAAGCTCAAGGTTGGCGGCTCAAACCCACCAGCCGCTCCTTGGAAACTCTATGTAGGTCATAATGAGTCAGAACTTAACATTTACCAACAACAATAAAGAAAGCATAGGTTGCTGTGGTTTTAAGATTCTTTGAGTCACTGCAAAGCTCTGACTTATTTCTTCGTTACACAAGTTTTAGGAAGTGGAGAATAGGAAGGTGGCAGAGATTTCTAAATGCACACACACAAAAATTTTTTTCTTCAAATGTAAATGTCTGAGTTTGTTTAGGAAGAGATACTCTAAATGCATCCACACAAGCACAGTTTTACTTCGGGAAGGAGATAGAAGTAAAAGGAGTAGGGAATATCATGTTTTGTAAACAAGGGGGGAAAAGTTATTATGCAAGAATTCATCTAATATTAAGACGTTTTCCTATAAGTGACAAGAAAGAAAACGAACCCTTCTATCAATTTTCAGCGTAAATTAGAGAAAAATGCAGCCAAAAAAGCAAAAGTACTTACCCTCTCCCAAGAGAAGATGGGCTCTTATTAAAACCAAAGTACCGTGCAAAATGTTTTAAGAGTGCCGATTGAGAGCTGGTACGTATGCTGGAAACGTTAGCACTTACTTTTATTGCTATGGTGACGCAAGAATCATCACTGCAGCCTTTGCTTTGCGTTCAGACGTGGCGACTCCGCATGCTGCAAGTGAAGTTGCTTGCCAGAGAGAAGGGGAGCTGGGACCTAATTCTGCAATTTAGCCTTGCAAGGATCTGTCCTGCCTTTGAGACTGCATTGCAGTGGTGTGTGCAATGTTCATGTGTGCCAAAGTTTGGGGGTTTTTTTCTGCGGCGGGAAGGACTCAAAGGACACAGAGGAACATGGTATCATTTAAAGCATGTGATTTTGTAGCGCTTATGGTGGTGTTGTTGTAGTAGCCTCCAATTTGAGCCGAAAGGCTAACTATAAATAAAACCGCGGTTCTTGCAGACGCTCAGAGGAGCAGTTGTAATGTTTCCTCCTGGCCGGCAAGGGTCACTCTAGCAGACCTCTTGTCTGTTACCCTCCTCTCCTTCCCCGCAGCGGGTGGGAGCGAGGACGCCCCCAGCACGCATGCGCGGTCCCTCGGTGCTGCCAGTCTGCGTGCGTGAGTGGGAGGTGGCAGGCCTTAGTCTCTGGCCTTCCCCGCTGAGTCTTCCAGCGCGACTTCTCCAACCATGAGCCGGTTTGGTACCCGGTTAGTGGGAGCCACTGCGAACCCGTCGCCACCTTCGAAAGCCCGCAGCAATGAAAACCTTGACAAAATCGATATGTCTTTGGGTGAGGGACCGAGTTGAACCTAGTTGGGGTGGGGGGAGGGTGCGGGTGAAACCAAATGCCGCGGTTTGTGGGGGAAGGGTCGGTTGGCCGCAGTTGCCGATCGAGTTTTCTTGCGGGTGGGCTGAACCAAGTTGGGAGGGTCGTGGGGAGAGAAATAGAACGCTAGCTTGGAACCGAGTTTTTGGATCCGTGCTAAGATACCCGGCCATGGCTTCCACGGAGTCTGTGCTGGGGCTGGTGACGTTGGGAGCCCGGAGGCTGTAAGGACGGGTGAGCGATGCGTACCCTCTTTCTCTACTCAGGGGCGCTACCATTCGCGGGTCACCCGGCTCTTTGTGAAGAAAAAAGTCCGCGGGTTTCCCCCTAGCAGCTTCGCTGTAGGCATTACTAGCGGAGCGAAGAGGGATGGCCCGACTCAGCTGTGCTTTCCATAGAAAGGGCTTTGAGAACCCGACTGGGTCTGCGGTCAGTTACTGTCAGTGGTTCCAGTTACTGTGAGGACGAGAAGCGTCAAAGTCGCCCCGGGAGTTGGCTGTTCTGAGGGGCCCCGAACTTCGGGGCCACCAACCGAGACCGGCCCTGGAATGTTAGTCAGGAAGATGAAAATGTTCAACGACATCTTCAAATGTTTTATTTCTAGAAAAGTACATTCTTGTCTAGATCTCAAAGTTGGTTAATTAGGAAGAAAAACTGAAGCATAAACCGAAGACATAATGTTGTAGCTTGTACCTGGCTTCAAAGAAAGGTGGGGTGGTTTGGTTATCACTATAGGAAAAGCAGAAAGTTTAGTGATTCCATTAAAAATTAATTAAGAAGACTTAATTCTGAGGCACTAGCTTTTGTGTTTGGCTTAGTTGGTTTCAAAGGAATTCTGGTTTTGTTGGGATTCAAGTTTTAGGGTATTAGTAATTACAGTTAACTCAGCCTGATCTGTATATATAGCCTACAGTTTTTACGCTTAATTGAAAAGTTACAGAGGAGTCACCTTTCCTAGGACAGTATTTGGGACATATGCATTTGGAACCATTTTCGAATTGTCATTTCCTTCCTTTTGTGTTTTTGTTTTTTCTTTCTTTTGTTAGAGTTTATTTGGAGCATTTTTAACAAAGCCAAGAACTCTTGATTTCTATGATTGCCACAAGTCAGAATGCAGTGGGTGAATTAAGTAAATCATTAAAAATAATACATTTGTCTTACCTTAGTAGTGAAATTGAAAGAAATGAGAAATCTTTTGTGCTGCTAAGGTCAGGAGATAATACAACAAGGAGTAAGTACTAAGGCCTTATTACCTGCCATGCCCCAAACTAATAACTTTTTGAGGTATGTATTCCTAGTGATGAACCATTGCCAAATCTGTTGCTGTCAGGTGGATTCTGACTCTTGGCAGCCCCGTGTGTGTCAGAGTAGAACTGTACTCCGTAGGGTTTTCTTGGCTGTAATCTTTATGGAAGCAGTTTGCCAGGCCTTTGTTCTGTGGTGCCGCAGGGTGGGTTTTAACTACTAACCTTTCAGTTACTTTTATTAGTTCTAATCGGCTACAAACCATTGTACTCCGGGATGATCTCTAATGATAAAGAGCATGGAATCTGGAGCCATACTATTTCAATTCAGGTCCTATCTCTTCCAGTTATTAACCATGTGACTGTGAGCAAATGACTTCTTTGTGCTTCATCTGTAAAAAAGAGATGACAGTACTGCATGTACATGTCACAAGATTGCTGCTAAGTATTAAATGAGTTAATAGTTATATTAGAACAACACCTGGTACAAAATGAACACTATGTCTAGAGGAATACATATATGCATGGCTTTAGTTTTTTTTTTTTACTCCCTGCAACAACAGTTAGCCCGCTTCCTCCCTGTGGTCCCTATTTCCACTCCACTACCTTCCCATCCCTTCTCCACTTTGTCTTTAGGTAAGTGTTACCCTTTTGATTTTGGTGAGCATACCTTAACTTGTGTTGTTGTCCATATACCTACCTACAGCTTAGCTGAAAATTGGACCACAAAGCTGAGTTCCTTAACAGACCTGAAGGATTGTTGAGGGCCATAGTCTCAAGTTCCTCCAGTATCTTTCTGTCCAGTAAGCCTGGTCTTTGTTTTAATAATTTTGAGGGTTTTTTGTTTTTTTCCTGAGTTCTACATGTTCTGCCACTCTATCCAGGGCCTTCTAATGTGATCCCTTTCAGAGCAGTTGGTAGTGGTAGCCAGGGACCATCTAGTCCTTCTGGTCTCAGACATGGAGATAGGTGTTCACATGTTCCATTAGTCCATTGGACTAATTGATTCCAAGTCTAAGGTAAGTTTTCATCACTTTTCTTTCTTCTGTACATGGAGAGACCAATAGCTGTACCTTAGGTGGTTGCTCATGTGCTTTCAAGATGCCAGACAATGTTCACCTAAGCAGGATGTAGAACATTTTTTGTGGACTATGTTAAGCCAGTTGACCATGGTGTGCCCTGAGACTATGGTCCTGAGCCCCTAAGCCCAGCAACTCATTGTGTTACAACAATGTTTTGGTCATATCTTAATTTTTATTGTTTTACTCTCTGTGTGCTGTACCACATTCATAGTTGTGTGTGCAGGAAAAATAAATACCTATGTACAAATATCCTCTTTCAGACTTAGTTATTTGTGGGTGTATTTCCACTCTTCTCCCATACCCATGCAGCCTATGTCTCTCTTCATGTATCTACCTGCAGAATACTGTTGTTCCAAGGTTGAATATATATCACTATTTACTTCTGTCACTTTTAGCCCTTGCACACCTCCCTGTATCTTCATCTGTCTTTGTGATTCTTCTGCCAGCCTCCCTCCTCTTATATATTGCTGTCCTCATCCACCTCATTAACGTGTCTACCTTCCGTTGAACTGACACGAAGACACAGTACTTAACAACAACAGCCCTCTAGCCAGGGAATTACTCTCCCTTCCCTCTCATCCCTGGTAACCATCAAAGAATGTTTCTTTTTGTAGGAAAACCTTTTCTTCAAGTTTTTACAATGGTGGTCTTAGACACAGATTGTCCTTTTGTGACTGACTAATTTTACTCAGCATAATATCTTCCAGGTTCATCCATCTTATGAGGTGTTTGTCAGATTTATTGTTATTCTTCAACATTGAACATATGCATGTCTTGTAAGATATTATTGTTACTCTTATTTTACATAAAGAGTCCTGATGTAGCATGGTAGGATAAGCACTGGACTGCAAGGTTGTTTTGAGCCACAAGGTTGTCCGTTCAAACTCATCATCTGCTCTTTGGAAACTCTATACAGGATCACTATGAGTCAGAACTGACTCAAAGGCACTTAACAACAACAATTTTACAGAAACCAGAGTCATAGAGAAATTAAGTAGGTTGCCCAAATTTACACAAGGAATAAGTGGTAGAGGCAGGATTTCAGTCTGACTGTAAAGCCGTAGCTGTTTCATAACCAATACTTTTTTTTTTTGCATATATTTGTGTGTGTGTGTTTTGTTTGGTGGTAAGGATGTAAGTAAAGGGCAGTTCTTTCTGAAGGCAGAAAAGAAGTGCTGTGAAATGCTGAAAAAAAGAGCTTAGTCTCTTTTTTTCTCCAAGAACATTAAATTTTATTCAGTGAAAAGTTTAGGGACAAGATGAATAGATAATATCTATTTAGGAAATTCTTAAGGTTTTTGAATATTTCATTTTTATCTACATAGATTTCGAAATATGATTTTCTGGTGTTTTGTTTTGAATTCTAGATCTACTAGGATTTTGTGACTATTCATATAGAATACATACCAATGTTACCAGTAGCTGGCCTTGTGGCTCAGTTTCTTACTTGGTAAAATGGGTATTATGATAACAATTTCTTTCATAGGTTTGTTTTGAGTATTAAACTACTATACCTGTTAGTAAAACAAAAACAAAACCCACTGTCATCAGTTCAATTCAATGGCACTTAACAATAACAACATAGGACAGAATAGAACTGCTCCTTGGGGTGTCTAAGACTATCATCTTAACAGGACCAGGCAGCCTCGTTTTCTTTCAGAGGACCACGTAGGTTTGAACCACTGCCTTTTGGGTTGGCAGCCCAATTCTTAACCCACTCTTCTTGTGTGCTTATCCTACAGTGCTGCAGCAGGACTCTCTATGTCAAATAAGCGTAACATGTCTGTCCACGGATCTACTGCACCACCAGGACTTCTTATGCCTGTTAATACTCAGTTAAGGTTCTTGCCACTGAGTCAGTTTCCCAGGCTTTCCGAGGAGCGGATGGTGGGTTTGACATCTTGACTATGCAGCACACCAGAATTCCTATAATTATTACTATTATGTTTATCCCTAGTTATATGGAAGAAAGTTTTTTTATAAAGTAGCTTTTTGCAGTTGATTTTTATTTTATTTTTTCCTTTTCCTTCTTATACCACTTTTCTATTTGGTATCTACCCTGTCTACCCTTTGAGAGGAGAAAGCTATTTTCTTCATTTAATTGGAAGAGTAGTTCCACCATTAGTAGCTCATGCAACTTGAGTATTTAAATAATAGAATACTTAAATTTAAAACAATTTTATATTTGCTATACTTTGCTGAAAGGAGCTCTGGTAGCGTAGTAGTTATGAATTGGGCTGCTGACCTCACCGATTAGCAGTTTGGAACTACCAGCTGTTCCACGGGAGAAAGATGAGGCTTTCTGCTCCTGTACCTCAGAAACCCTACACAGGGTCGATAAGAGTCAGAACCGGCTCCACACACATAGCCATACTTTGCTGAAGGAGCTCTCCTAGCATAGTGGTTATGAGTCAAGCTGCTAACCTCGTGTCAGCAGTTTGAAACTACGAGCTGTTCGTTTTGAAAGTTGAAGAAAGAAGAGACTTTCTGTCTCTTAAAGATTTACAGCCTCGGGAACCCTATGCAGGGTTGCTATGAGTTGGAACCGACTCCATGGCTCACCACCACCATACTTTGCTTGTTTTAATTATGTTTATGATATGCTCTATTTTATCATTAATTTGGTTAGTCACAATTG